CGGGGTGCGACCAGAGTCACGGAATGAATTAAGTTCGTAAACCGAGGTTCCACTGTACCAATAACAGAGGCACCTTATAATAGACTCAACACACAAACAGCACCTATACTGGAATATTAAATAGTGAGATATAAACCAGAACCCATATTATTTAATGAATAACGTGACCTTATTTCAGTGGCATCTCGAGATAAATAGAATACATCTCAAAGAATTGGCAAATTTAGTTTTAATTTTTGTTCAAAGGCAGACAATATGAATAAGTTATTACTTTTTAAAGTCTGATTTCTATCCTTGGCCAAAATCCAATTTGCTTTGAATTTTTCATCACAGCTAAAATATTCATATGCTTTATTTAATCAATGTACTACCATTTATATCTCACCCAGCTCTAGAGACACTTGGTGGTTAATATCTAAATAAAAACTCATTAACAAAGCAACAATTATATTAACATAAATAGGAAAAACACATATGAAGATTAAAAACAATCCACTGTGCTTCACATTCTTTTAAAGAGCCAGGTCTATGCTCTATAAAAAAAATGAGAACCCAATATGTCACCTCCACAAAAGTTAAAACAGAAAATGTGATGAAACTTACTTCAAGATTTTCAAGAACTTCAGTGGCTCCAAAGATCTTCACATCAGAACTTGTATAATGATTAGTTAGGATAATTTCAGTCTGATTAGCATAGAATCCTGGATTAAATGGCACTTCAGCGCTAATCTGCTCTAAAGAGTGGCTGCCTTGGAGTGAAGGTGTGATGGTGATGGCAGTTTTGCTCATAGTGAGTTGTTTTAGCTGCTTGTCAGCTAGTCTGAGCATTCTGATGGAACAAGTATATTGTCCTTATCAAAAAAAAAACAACACCAATTTGAATGTTAATACCTTTCCTACTTCTCCATTTTGTAGAATGTATTATTGCTGCACATTCTCCATGTTAGTGCTAAGCATGGTCACTTAGAAGTAAGTGACACTTTTAATGACAGTTGGACAGTTTTAGTGGGAAAGCACCATGATCAATACTATAATTACAGTATAATTGCTAGATAATCCTTTGCATCCACAGTGGGAGGAAGGGGTGGCAAAAGACGACAAACGATGCGACTTATATACTTGCATTAGGATCATGATACAATTACACAATCAACGTCAATTTGATTACATTGTGGTATATTTGTACTGTTGTCGCCAGGGGGGTGGAGCGGGTTTTGTATTTGGGATTTGTATTCTTGTAAGCCACCTGGAGTCACTGTGAGTTGGGCGGCCATATAAATTGCTTAAATAAATAAATAAATAAAATGTTGGCACCACTGTGGCTTGTTACGGATGCTGCTGCAGATGATAAATGGGACAGTATTCATTCTTTTAAATTTACATTTCCTCGAAAGAAGAATTTTTCCACATGGAAGTATTTTCATTTATTTTAAGCAACAATGGGAGAAGTGGATGTTTGTCAATATTGCGTATTAGTCTTGATATCAACTGCGGTGCTGCCTAAATTTTACACTGTGGTTGTAACCAATAGGCCATGTTATTATTAAATTGGTCTGCCACATTTCTGTATTTTCCTAGGTGGCTCTTAATTACTTTATTACTTACTGCTTGAATTATTTTGCTTGTATCATGATACTTGTATCATGATCCTGATGCAAGTGTTCACAATGCATATCTTCTGTTATTTCTCCTGTTAACTTAGTATTAGATCATATTAAGTTAACAGGAGAAATAACAGAAAGTATGCATTGTGAATCCAAGAGTGGTTCTGAGATTCTTATTACATAAAGACTGCTATCAATCTTCCTTGTAGTATAAGTTAAAAACAATAGTAATTTACAAATCCAGCACCAACAAATAAGCACTTACATGGTTACCTGTAGGAAAGTTGAGGCAATTTTTCTAGATATATTAGTATATAATACTGAAATGTATTAACTCAACATGGATTTCTAACTCCAAAGGGCCAATTTCAGTGCCAAATGTTTTATTTTATGCAGAATTGAGAAATAAGTCCAAGTAAATGGAAAGCATCTTCAAGGCCTATAACTTTTTAAAGATTTTAAAAATTTATTCCATACCAATATGAGCACTATCATAAGTTGTTGCACCAGTTTTGCCAGTTTAAAAGATTAGACAAATTCCTGAAGGACAGATCTATGAGTAAGCACTGCCCATTATACTACTCAACTGGAATCAGCCAATGCAGCAAACTCTGGATACTCTCAGTTTTCATTCTCATGAGATTCTCAGTCTAATAACCGCAGTTAGACTTCATAGTTGTATTCTTAGTACAATTTGGTACCTTCATCTTACCTGAAGCTACATCAAACATGGGTTCAGCTGCAACAATTTCAGAAGCTTGGAAATCAAACGCATTGTTGTTGAAATTAAGCTGACAGCTGATGACAGACTGAGGCTTCATTTTCTCAATTACTTCATTTTGGGCAGTTGAACATTCTCCTAAGAAAAATTGAATAATGGAGTTGAGAAGTTACAAAAGAAAAATCTATTCAAAAATTATCTGTGGTCAGAAATGTCATTTCAAACAGTGATTTTAGAATTTTTAAAAAGTGCCACTGATTAGAGCAATAAGACTTAAATGGAAAGCTTTCTTTCCTGTGTTCAAAGCATTTAATGAAAAACTTTTATAATAATAATTACTGAGAATGAATGAGGTATAAAGCATTGCCAGGTGATAGGTCATATTGAATGACACGTAATTTCACTTTATTTAAACTCTGGATAAAGACACAGTAATCAAGAAATTTAAGTATACAATGGAAGTCTCATTAATGTGTTTTTCAGAGGTTGTCAAGAAGATAAATTGTGTCATTTATTATTGAATTGAAATGGGACATTAGTTCCCCTGAAACTATATTCAATAGATCAGAAACTGCTGAGTGTTCTGCACTGCACTGTTGAAATATACTTATTAATCATTCAGTATTTGTTGTGCCACAAAAGATATTATTTATGTCACAAACTGAAACATAATTTGAGCATATCAAAGGAGAATTGAGCCAGGGCATATACACATAGACTTTATCTGCATAAAATATACATAATCATGATTTTAATTATCTTCTCCACTCTTTAATGAGGGGAAGAGTTCAAGTAAATAGAATTTCTTCCTGCATAGGCAGCCAGTTTACTGATCTGTTCAACTTATAGCCTGATTCTCAATATATCTTACACAGACTACAATCATATGATTCACCATGGATATTAAATTCAGTGGGACTTCTGGGTAAATACTGCACAATATTAGACTCTTCATGACAGTGAATTGGGTTACAATATATATGGCACTCATGCCATATATATAAGGCTGGAAAAAAATGTATAATATTGATATTCTTCTATAAAACATGTGCTGAGTAAAATGCTGTCATATAGACTTCTCCTTCCACACAGGTTGAAGTTCAACTTCCAGAATTTCCTTCTTGGTGGGAATTCTGGAAGCTAAAGTTCAACCCATATGATGATACTAATTTGGCAAAGACTGCTGAAAGGAGTTTTCATAATTAAATTTAGTAGCTATGCAGAAATGCATAAATTATAGAAAATTAGAGAAAATGATTGATTGTGAATGTAAGCTTAATAAGCATACCTTTCAAATTTTTACTTCTGTGTCCAATTTGAACTATAGCTTTGGAAGTGTCCTGAAGATTTGTTTTCATTCCACTTACATGTGTTGCCACAATCCTTTTAGGTTCATTAATTAACACCTTGAAGGAAAAAAAAGATCATGTCATGCTCAGTGACAATTGTTTGGATGGATCTAATTTCCTCTTGAGTTTGGAGATCATAAGATCTGGTCACTTGGATATTTTCTGAATTAGGCTGTATCTCAGTTTAATTTCAGTGGTATATTAATTTAAACATGCTATCTTATTCAGAATTGACTATTTAGTTTAAACCTTTGGAAAATTTTGAACCCAGCAAATCATGTTTACCACCTAACAATAAAACAACAATACACAGACACAGACAGTCTTGACTCCTCACGACTGCCAGGACAAGTCCTTGCAGTTTTCTTGGCAAGATTTTCATGGTTTGCCTTTCTTTCCTTCCAAAGGCTGAGAGAGAGTGACTGGCCCAAGGTCACCCGGCTTTGTGCCTAAGCAGGACTAGAACTTACAGTCTCCTGGTTTCTAGTTTGGTGCCCTTAACCACTATACAAAACTGTCTTTTTATATTAAAACCTTCTAATTCATACTCAGACTCTTGGCTTCTGTTCATTTTTCAACTATATTGGAGTATAGGTTCTTAAACTATTTGACCCAATTACTTCTTTTCCTGGTCTTGAATAATATAATTAATCTCATCACAAAAACAAAAACCCCCAGACTCTGTTGTTTTACAAAAGGATCTCAGCAGCAGCAGCAGTTCCATACTAGATCCTTGACTCACAAATAAGCAATTACAAGTTGCTGCATTACCCCAGGGATATGCCCTGATTTCTCCCTCGGGGGTAATTACCCCCAGTTTAAGAACCACTGGCATAAACATTTACTTTATTACAACTTTCAATATTTCTTGCTCTACAGATGTGTTCAACACATCAACTCTCATATTATCTGTCCTAACATGCCTTTCTCACACATAAAATCAGAAGGATTTGAAAAGCATAACCGCAGTACTGTTGGATATGTGATTGTTATGGTCTGTTCTCTATAGACCATATGCTTTGTCTCTGATTTCATCTAAGTGCCATGGAAAACTGTAATGAAATATGTGGGTTTGTGCTTCACGTGCACATTTCTGCACCATTATTGTGCCAAACATTTATTTATTTAATTTCATTTGGTATACTGCTGACTATTGAAATCTCTCAATTGTTTACAATAAAAACAAATTTATAATCAAAACAAAAACAGACTCATCCCTGAGTTGTGACCAGGTAAACTTACAATAGTAGGCCAATCTTCTCAAAGGATCACACTAAGTTTGTGGGTTCATAATAAAGTGACACCAATTAAATAGGAATTGAAACCACTAAAAAGCCGTGTCCCAATTTCAAATCTCTCTGGCCATTCAGTGGCACCAAAACACACTGAGAGGATAAAAAGAACCAACGTTTGTGATGTTACCTGTAGTCTTTAATAACCTCATAGCTAGAAGTTACAAGCCATGTTACAAGCCAGAGGTCAAATGGTGGAGTGTATTGTTCTAAGCAGCCTGTCTATGTCTTTGCATATTACATACTGAAATTGATCTAACCCAACTACGTAAGAGGAGTTACTAGACAGTTGATTATGCATCAAGGATGGCATCTAGACTGCCCTGATTATATCCACAAAGAATTCACACAAAGCATTATAACAAATTCAGATTATTCTATGATAAGATATCTGTGAGGAGTGAGCAGGATATGAAACGACTGAGCAGACACTGTTCTTGTGGAATACATGTAGAAAAAGATGTTTTCTTTCCCTATGAGTATTGCCACAGAATAGGCTTTCAAATGGGCTTTGTGCTATTGTAGTAGATTAGATTATAGTCAGGTCTTCCTCCATCTGTGCTCTACCCATCTATCTTGCTGATTCAGCTCCTACAGTTCAATTGTGTGCAACAGAACTAACTCTAAAGCAGGTGAGAGGGGACATTGAACAGCAATTGTGTCAATCACCCTAGAAAGCTCCTTATTCCAGGTACAAACCAGGGAATTGACTGAATAACTGCTGGAACCAGCCCCAAACATTTCCAAGGCCTCTTGGGATCCAACTGGATCCAATATATATTTCAGGCAGATCATCCTAACAAGCCCACTGCTCCTGAAGAGGTGATGTATACCTGTTAATCTGAACCTGAGCCATCCATGAAAATGAGAAAACCTGGGGCATTTCCACCCACAGAGCACCTCACCAATTAAAATAAAACAGCAAATTGAGCAATTGAGATAAGCCCATATTTTCCGTGACCACTATTCCAAACAAACCAGCATCAAAATGGATTATGAAATCTCCGGTGTAGGTGGTCTCCAACAAAAATTATAGGAAAAGCTCTGTCAGTTTAGTCAGGGATTCTGTTATGTAAATGGATTGGCAATATATTTACAGAATCCCCAATCTACCCTTGGTCCCAAGATTGAGGTGCACCCGCTCAGTATGAAACAATTCTCTCACAGGAATTGAGATACTATTCTTATGGATCACAGCTACATCTCCCCACACGCCTCCTCCAGTGAGATTGCTTGACAAAAATTAGGTTGGAGGAAAATCAGGTTATCTATGGTGTTGAACCATTCTCATGGCCTGGAAGCTGATAAGGCTGCCTTCAACCTTTAATCTTTTTTTCCTGTAATGTCCTCCTGCCAATATTAAATCTTCCATTCCTCATCGTTACTATGATTGCCACTCCAGATTTCATACAGGTAGACCCTCCCTCCTGTCCCCCATGCAGCAACACATACTTTAAGAGGTCAAAAGGGTATCATTTTTTCACACAAACACACACAGAACACCAAAGCAGGAAACTCATCAGGTGCCCTTATCTAACCACTCACCAGATACACTGAATATAATCCCTGTAGTGGCAGCCAAGCACTAACTTTGAGTGCTACTTCCTGGTGGTCCACCTTTCATCAGGTGGCCAAGACGATGTTTAAATTCCTCTCCCAGCAATTCCTGGTTCCCACCCAGAAGCAGCTCTAGTCCCTGTGGGCGCGTACGTGCACACACACATACTGACACAACACCATTAGAGTGTTCAGCCCTAGATCTGTGTTGCCTCCAAAGTGGTTCCCCCTCAAAATGGCACCCCTCTTGAGATTGTAACTCAAGTCAGCCAACCTTAAGCAACCCTTCTAAAGAAACAGCAAATAATAGTGGGATACCAAACATTCCTATGGAAGGGCCTTCAGCTGGTTCTGAGCTGGCAAGCAATAAAATCTCTGCTTCAAGCTCCTGCTTTGTTCCACTGGCTCATTCTATGAAGATGAAGTGGCCTGTGTTTTGATGGTTGTTTTAGGAGACTCTGAAATGGAGGATCCATGCCATGAATCCAAGTGCTTCCTCTACAGAGTTGTCAGGAATTGTTTGATTCATGAGTATTGTGGCTTACTTTGCACAGACTGATGTAGTCTGTGATTTCACACTGGCTTTTGGTTGGTCCCAAATGACTATTGTAATGATCCATTCCTCTGACCTCTCTGTCATGGTGGCAGCAAAAACCACTGGCAATGGCCATTCTACAAGTCATGAGGATCCATGAGGAAGGATGATGCCTCTTCAACCAACTGGTTGCAATTCTATGATTATAAATGGATGCTTTCTTATTTTAGGAGCTATAAGCTCTTTGGCATTTCTTATCATAATGAGTAACTTTTAAGGGCTTTACTGTAATAAAATAATACAGCTAGATGGATACCTTAGAGGGGTGGTATAAATTTTTCAGTTGTAAGATAACATAAAAATCTCTAAATAAACATACCTAAATAAAGTGAAAGTATAATAGTGGGAATTTCAGAGGTGACTTACCTCCCTGTATGTTTTATACAATCCAGGTACCTCATAATATATTATAATATTTCCAGAGTTCCTTGCTACAGCTACTCCTGCTTTTGAATCGATCTGAAGAATACTATTTGAAGAAGAACTCCATGTTCCTGACAAACCTATGAAAAAGGGTATTTGTAAAAATAATCATATTGTAACTGCCAACCATAACAGACTGAATTATTCTCTACAAAAGTAGTATCTAGCATGGAAACATACATATGGATACATTGTAGTATCTAGCATGGATACATCTGTTTTATAACTTATTATTTTTCTACTTTTATAAATACAATGGTAGCATTATGAATATTGTCTTATACAAATTGAATAAACATTCATAAATGCACACACCATGTTACAAAAACCTTTCTTTCCCTTCCCTACAGTGAAGTTGCAGCATTCAGGGAGTAGCATTAAGGATCTGTGTCATACCCATTTATTTTTGTGTAAGGGCCTACAAAAGAGCTACATCTCCCCTACTGGAATTACCCTGCATCCTGGGAAAAGCACCTTCAATCCATTGCTGCTATTCAGCCAGCATGTCAAACTCTCTCAGGTTAAGCAAAAGACTGCTTTACTCATTACAGCTATGGCATTCATAGTATTTATCTGAGGGGCCACCTCTTCCCAATTATGTCTGCATGTGCCATCAGGTCCAACAGAAGGGGTATGTTACGGGTCCCAACTACCAAGGAGTTATATCTGGTGAGACCCCGGAGACGAGCCTTTTCTGCCATGTTCCTTCTCTGTGGAACATCATTCCCCCCGATGTGAGGTTGGCCCCATCTCTGCCAACCTTCTGGAAGTTCCTCAAAATGTGGCTATGTCAGCAGGCTTGGGGATATCAAGGAAATGGAGAACAGGTGAGATGGCTACACTGTAATCTAGGAAAGATTAGATCTCTCCTAATCTTTTTAATTAATGTTTTTATTTTTTATCATAGCTTCAGTTCTGATAATAGTTTTCATCCTTCTGAAAACAGTGTTTTTGTACATGCAAGCACGTTTCCTTCTGATAAGCTGACATTATTCAGTATGTTTCAGAAGGTCCCCCTTTGTCCTTGTTTTGCCTATGCTACTGCCAGCTAGACTGAGTGATGACTGCACAGAATATCTTCCAAACCAGAAATCCAGTTGGGCAATCCAAGTCCTACTTTTATTCGTACTTTCATACCTGTACTTACCTCAATTCTGCAAAGGTTGTTAAAACAAGGATCAACAAAATACCCTTCCTATTCATAAAGTGATGCATGACTCAATATAAAAGCTATTCCCTGTTTCTTTTACATCTACACAACAAATTGTACTTTATTAAATATATATTTCATATACTAACATATTATTTAAAAGATCAATTGAAATGACAGCCATTCAGAAAAAATAACACATTGACGTGATATAATTATGTGCAAATGAGCTGATGAAGCTTGTTCATCTTGTATTGTCGAAGGCTTTCATGGTTGGCATACGATGGCTGGTGTGGTCTTCCGGGCTGTGTGGCCGTGTTCTTGAAGTTTTGTTTCCTAACGTTGGTCCCTAACCTAGTAGGTCCCTAACCTAGCTGGGCACAGAGAGAACTGCTCCTGTCTGTGCTCCTGCACTCTGAAGATGCCGGTCACAGGCTGCTGGCAAAACGTTAGGAAACAAAACTTCAAGAACACGGCCACACAGCCCGGAAGACCCACACCAGCCACCTTGTTCATCTTGCTAGCAAGA